TTCAGAAGATACAGGCAGTAAGATACAATTGCTTATATATTTGGCATCTGAAATACAATCTAGGTTCAGCATTGCATGTCACTACTTCTATATAAGAACGCTTTCACAAATTTGCCAAAGTTCATTTGGAAAAAAAATTGCTTTTCTCCCAAAACAAGCTTTCATTTCCCCTTATTTGTTATACTAGAAATCACTTACTGCTTTCCAATATAGATGTATTCATTGACAGTTTTTGCTCTATTGTTCACCAACATCGCTTAAATAAAAATAAATAAAATCCCTCATATTTTTGTAACTACAGGTCTTGCCAATCTTTTGCTGGTCTAGAAAAGTCAGGTTCTTCCAAGTTTCTCTTGTGAAGTAGTGTTGATCCACCTGATAATTCTTGCTGCCATTCCCATGCTTCCTTCCCACTCTAAGTTAAAATTCACCAAATTTAGGTCATCACAAAGGCACACAACACTCCAGACAAGGCTTTAAAGAATTAACTCTTCCCAGGTGGTAGCAGAAGTTCTTCTGAGACTTTCAAGAGTTATATCTGAAGCTTATGACTTCATCACTCTTGTGACTCTAATTGACACAGGTACTCTGACTGATCTTACCACTCCCAATCTGTGTCTTCCAGAAATGATACGCTTACTATCAAAATCCCTATTATATACATATAATTATATAATATATAATATATATAATAATTATATATATATATATATATTATATTATATAATTATATAATATATATGTATATATAATAGCTGTGCTATTTAGTATCTTCCAGTTTCTTTAAGTCCATCATTCACATTCACACACACAGTGACACTTAGGTTACATCATTGCTAAATTTTATCTTAGTCCTTCTGCAAATACTTTAAACAATCTAGAGAGTAACCCTTGAAGAACTCCTTTAAGAACCTCCCTCCTTTCTCACAATGATTATTTACTGTGTTTTTTGCTAACTCTGTACTTCCTCTATTGACCCTCATCTATCCCATCTTAAGTGTTAATTTTCCACACAGCATACACTAATGGCTTTTATGTGAAGCTTTTTCAGGGGAGGCATCATTAAAATCAGAAGTATGGGATCAAGAAAGAAGTGATCTGATTGTTTAAACTTAGTATATCCTGAAAATGGAGACCTTAGAGTCAGCAGATCTACAGCCAACCTGACAGGACTGTGACAGTTTTCACAGATGGCCATAACAGTAAAAATCTGTAGGAGTAGAAATTGTCTCCATGCCTACTTCTGCTACCCTTCTGTCATTGTATTATTTAAGAACTGCAAGTATAATTTCTTACCATAAAAAATCTGTCTCCTTAGAAACAGATCATATCGAAGCAAGAGGAAATTGACAGAAATTGGGATAGAAAAGAAGGCAAGGATTTAGAAATGGAATCTGCTCTGCTTGATATGAGCAATCTACTGATCCCCAAAACCGCACACCAGCCTGATTTCTGCCAGGCTCATAACTGTTAAGGGCACAAAAGAGCTGAGTGTGGCACAGCATACAGGCTCAACTTACAGTGTGGTAGTAGTGCACCTTCCTAGAGCACCAACGCATGTAAGCAAATGATGAGACTGTGGTCCAATTTTGCTTTCATTGGAGATAAGTTTGGAAGTACTTCACTGACGTGGTTCTTCTCCGGAATTGCACCAATGCAAAAGAGGGCAGCATCTGCTTTCTGAAAATGGATGCCATCAATCTAATTGAAAACAACAGATGCATCAACAAGCAGCAAAGAGGAGACACTAAATGTTCCTTTTTTTTTTTTTTTTTTTTTTTTGGCCAAAGAACATTTCATTTCTCTCCAGAGAATGCAAGAGGATAAAACAATATGTGCTTGAAAAATTAAATCTTATGTTGGTGTAAAATCCTATACAACTTTTTAGGTAAATGAACCTACAGCACCTAAAGACGGGGTTACAATCCCAGTGAAATACCTTAGGATTTATTACATTTTATTTACATATATAAAGTTATTTACTTTTCGAAAAATGGTCTTCCAAAACTTTCCAATAAATATTTTTATACCCATTTAGTGAAAGTGAATCCAAACACAGATTTACTGAACTTCCAGTGATATTTTGTATGAAGGCAAGGTTTCTCACAAGTCTTGCCTCTGGGGCAACACAGCTTCAGTATTTTAGAGTGACCACAAAAGTTGATGAGCACTTTCCATAAAATTTCCCTCCTGCAAATCTTTTCCCTTCTTTCATTAAGGAAAAGTTGGACACTGGTAATTTCAACCTGTAAATGTGCAGTACAGGTTGATATTGGATATTTCCTACAGAGAATGTTTATCAGTAAAGTAAAACTCACGCTGGTCCCAGTTATGAGCAAAGTATAAAACCATGCCATAATATTCAAGTTCTTGTGCAATCCAACAAACCCTGAGCAGACTTCCCTGGAGCAAGCAAAAACTCAACTAGTTAAGGAAAGCATACAGAACTGACATGTGTACTAACAATATAAGCCACACAGGAAAACCAATTTTACTGTGGTCCCTTGCCTACCTTCCCCCCCCCGAACATTCTCCTGGGTTTGCCTCCCTGACCAGAGTCTTGCCTTACTTAGGACCTAATATCCATATCATTGAACTCCTGACTATAATTAACGAGCAGTTTCATTACTAACTATTCGTTAGGCAACTAAGGACATACAGCTTTCATTGGCAATTTTTCATTTTATCAGAGGATTAAGGTTTCTGATCCTGTAGACACCTGCTCTTCTTAATTTTACATGTAAAGCAGATGGCAGCAAATTGGGAATTGCACTGTAAGCATGCTGATAATATGGCTACAGACATACACAGAATGTGATTTGTCTGGAGTGTAACCTCCAAAAAGCAGAGATGAAGAGATCAGATCTCAGTTACTACAATGGAAATAGAGCTATTTGTGCTTACATGTTTGCAGCTGAGTGCAGAATCTCATTTAGTCTTTAACTTGCCCATGGCCTGCACACTTCCACCACCGCATTTAGAAATGCTTCTGCTTTTGTTCTTGCCAATATAAACGTAAAGAGAAGCCTAACTTTTCTGAGCTCAGTAGACTTACTTGGACTCATATCAGATGACAGTTTTCGGAAAAGCTGAGGTTAACTCCTGCTGTAATCTGCATTCCCCGATGTAAAGAGTACCTCAAGAGAAGAAAAAATGAAGGTAAGCTCTTTAACAGATAGTACATATGTTTTGACTGTATGCAGAAGATTCAACATAAATGAAGGTAGTTACATTAAATGGAGTTTTGCTAACTTACATCAGTATGTGGTGAGGATCTTGCTCATACTATGGTTTTGTAGTTTATAGTTATTTTTCTTCTTTTCTTCACCTAGAATCAGATTCTCCATTTAGGCTGTAAATTTTAATTAGGAAATCCCTCCTCATCAATTGCAAGAAATTCAGTTGTTGATTTCACAGATGAAAAAGAAACCTTACCTACCTCTGCTACAACAGTAGAAGCTGGAGCTGTTAGTTCTTTTGCTTTTAGGGATGATCCTGTTCTTTTCGTCATAGTATGAAAGATTCTTCAGCCCTTACCCTGCTTTTTTCTCCCTTGAATTTCCTTTTTACTCATTCTTCTTTATCCCTGCAGGGATCTCCGTACATCAAATGAGTGGGCTTAGTAGAGAACACTTTGTCCTGTCACCTTCATCCTTCCAGCTGCTGTAGCAACGACTTTTATCCATATAAGCTGGATCAGAATGAACAGGGCCGAGACAGAAAATTACTCAAAAAACTTAACATGCAATATTTTTCAAACAGGAACAGAACTTTCACCTTGTGGAAAACTTCAGGAATCCTTCAGTAATACTCTGAAATACTGCAAAACAACTTTTCATGCCTTTTAAACTTACAGTCCATCAGATGGTTGATAAGCAGTGGATAAAAAAGGCATCCACAATAAAATTCTTCTTTTCCTTCACTCATTGATTTCTCCCCTGCTCTGATTTGGTGCAAAATATCCCATGGAAAATTTTCGTTATAACTGATTGTTGCAGAATGGCCAAAGATTCAGGAAAAAAGTGGTAGTCTTGCCCATAACAAAACTTTATTTCCTAGTGAGATTGTTAAAAAAAATGATTCTGTGTTTTTTAAAGCAACACTCCTCCTTATATTCCTTGAAACTGAGCACTCAGAAAACTCATTGACCAGTTGACCCCCTTGTTCCTAAGTGTGTTTATCACATACCCTTATCTCTCCATGTGCAAGGATATAAAGTCCTTCCTATCTCCTTGTTTGAACTGCCTGTTTTCAAACACTGTTAACAGTCTGTCAGTCTGGAGTTTAACAGGGCAGCTATACACAATATAACATGATGGGATCTTCACTAACCAAAGAAAATGGCTGTAAAGGTGGCGTGCTGATAACATATTCAACAGTGCTTTTGCCTGTAGCCAAAGTCACAGGGTAGAGAAACAGTCTGTGAGATTGTTATGAATCTTTGGAGATGCTACTTTGCTTCAAAAGATGTGGTCTGCCTTAAGAAGAAAATAGCTAAACAAACAGACAGATTTGTATTTCAAGCATCCAGAGGTGACTGCTAACAGCTGAAAACTTAAGTGCTCTATAAAGGCACAATGTCACTTAAGTCAATTGCAAAAATTCTGAAGGCTGCTTAATACCAGAAGAGCTATAATATTGCTGATGACTGCATGACTTGACTACCCTGGTTTGTTGGTATTTTTTTTAGGATATGCTTAAAAACAGATTTGCACACTTAAATAAAACTCCCAGGCTATACTTTCCAAGCTTGATAATTTTTTGTATTTCTCTTAGCTCTAACACAGAAAATCCAGGGAGAAAACAACACTCCTGTTTTACACATTTTCATTTGCACATTGTTTCCAGAACTGAAAAATACGGAGTGCAAAAAACTGCACATAAAGTGGTCTGTTCGCAGCAAAGTTCCTTTGCATGTATGTGTCTACATGCTTAGAAACCCACAGCTGAATTTCACTTGATAGCAGAAGCTCTTATTACCAGAACATCTTTGCAAGACATTTTTTTTGTTGTTGTTAGAGTCTGCATGCCCAGCCACATACCACGCCGGCTGGAAGAACAACCTATTCTTGAGAGGTACGGCTCCTGCCTGGCAGGGGCAGAGGGGTTGGGCCAAAGGGAAGAAACCAGCACAAGGAATTTTCTGACGTAAGCAGAGCATAGCTCGTGCCTCCTCCTGAACTCGTGCTTAACCTGAGCTTTTTATATCTTACTTTGGGGAAACTTGTATCAGCTGATACACTTCTGCATAAAATAATCCCAAACATGGGCATTCTACTAGGAGACAGCAACAGCCTCGACACATCCTTCTTAAATAGCAGGTTCTTCTGCTAGCTTAGTGCACATGCAAGGACAACATAAAACTGAAAGCCAATCCCTTACATTCAGAAGAATATTTCATTGTACTGAATCTGATACACAACTAAGAACAACAACAGCATTTTGCAAAATTAATTCAGATACCAAGACAACTTTTTACACAAAATCAACAGAGATCCCACCTTGCAGTGGGATCCAGTATTACTGACCCACAAGTTACATGCTTCAAGAGATGCAGAACGAAAGCCAAAGCCCAGAAATTCAGATAAATTCACCTCAGTTACAATGAAACAAAAAAAGCACTAGATACAGACATCTGTGGAGGTAGCCTGGAAAGCCACTTTCTGCTCTCTTTATTCAGGCAAGCTCCTCTCATCTACAGAGCCATCAACATACCACACCACATGTGCTCTCTCGGGCTGATCTGCAGTAACAAGTGGCTTTTTGCTGCTGACCAGTGAGAGAGAACAGAAGAACCAGTGCAATGTCTGTGCACTGACCTAAGGCAAGTTCCTTGTACGTTAGAAACCTTTGAGAAGACTATGGGTCTCTGGAGAAGTGCAGCAGTTAGGACTTACATAAACAACTTCTACCATATGATCACGACCCAGATGAGGAGAGACACAATAAAAGCACTCTAGGCATGGAGCCAAATCTCAGGACAATGGAAAATAAGCAGGGTAACAAGGATGCAAACAGATCCCATCTCACAACCCTGCCAGCTCAGACGATATTAAAGGACATGTCCTTAGCAATCTCAGCCTTATGTTTGAAAAGTATGATGTATACATATACATAAAACATATTCTATATATTTTGCACCTTACATCTGTTTTGTGGACTATTCAGTGGACAAAGAATTGGTGGATGGTCACAGGGTTGTGGTCAATGGATCTATGTCCAGGTAGAGGCCAGTGATGAGTAGTGACCCACAGGGGCCTGTCTTGGGACCAGTGTCTTTAACACCTTTCTCAGTGACAAAGACAGTGGGATTGAGTGTACTGTTAGCAAGTACACCAAGCTGAGTGGTGCAGCTGATATGACATAAGGAAGGGATGCCATCCAGAGGGCCTTGGACAGGCTTGAAAATTGGGCCCACAGGAAATAATGAGATTCAACAAGGCCAGGTGCGACACTCTGCACTTGGATCAGGATAATCCCAGATATGCTGGGTATACACTGGGAGAAGAACTTGAGAGCAGCCCTGTGGAAAACGACATGGGGAACCTGGTGGACAAAAAGCTAGACATGAGCAAGCTATATGTGCCTGCAATCCAGAAAGCCAACAGTATCCTGAGCTACATCAAAAGAGGGATAGCCAGCAGGGCAAAGGAGGTGACTGTACCCTTTACTCTGCCTTTGTGAGGCCTCATCTGGAGTTCTGCGTTCTGGCCTGGGACTCCCAGCGCAAGAAAGTTGTGGAGCTACAGAAGCAGATCTAGAGGAGGGTCATGAAGGTGATCAAGGGGCTGGAGCACATCTATCACAAAGAAAAAATTAAGGGAGCTGGGCTTGTCAAGCTTGGAGAAGGCCAAGAGCAAACCTCATTGTGGCCTGTAAGGGAGGCTAATAAGCAGAAGCGAGACTGATTTTTACATGATCTGATAGTGACAGAACAAAAAGGAAGGACTTTCAATTAAAAGAGTGGGAAGATTTAAGTTAGAATTTAGGAAAAAATTCTTTACTCAGAGGGTAGTGAGGCACTGTTGCCCAGAGATGCTGTGGATGCTCCATTCCCGCAGGATTTCAAAGCCAGGTTGGATGGAATACTGGGCAGCCTGACCCAGTGGCTGGCAACCCTGGCCATGGCATGGGTGTTGGAATTAGATTATCTTAAAGTCCCTCCAACCTAAGACAGTTCTATAGTTCTATGATATTATGATTCCGCCTGTCTTTGCTTTCAAACACATGCACACATATGAATGCAGAACATACAATCACATTTAAAAACAAAAACAATACATGTATTTGCATGAAAGTTTACAAATAGAATCTGAAAGTATTTGTTTTCCCTTTTCATCCACTAGCAGCATTTGAAACATTTTAAAATAGGAAATAGGCAGGGATAAATGTGATCTGTGAAGAAAAACATGCATCTTAAAATGAAATTCTCTGGTCCCTTGACAAGCCCAGCAATGCAGGCTAAGGAATGTATTTTGCATTGCTACTGTAAGTTGCACTTACAAAATCTAGTGCATGAAAAAATCATTTCTGTGCTTTCAATTTAAGAAATACCCAGAACGGTTTGAATCAATAATAAAGCAAAAATAGCATTTCAAGTTTACCTCTTTTTCCTCTCATTTTAAAGTTCTAGGGTATGCTATTGAGTTTGTGCAGATGTCTTAGGGAAGCTGGTGTAAAGGCCAGCCTCTAATGCCAATACCCAGGAATAATTTATGACTGTGACCCACAATATCAGTGGAATTTTCAGACAGCACAGGTAGTTGTGTTTTTTGGCAATATCAACATAATACGAGCATGCAAACTTTCCTCAGCTACAGAAACACTTCAATAAAAACGCAGTGGAGTCAACTGTGTTCACATGCCTGAATACAGAACTGAGTACCTGCAGCATAAAGTACATATCACTAAACACTTATGGAAATAAATTGAGGAGATAACAAATCAATTTTCTCAAAAGTGAGAAGGCACCACTACAAAGGTTAACTTGGTACTATAAAAGCCAAGTAACATCAGGACACTGGCACAAGTAAGACTTAAGATCAAAACACAGAGAATCTTCAACAAGCCTGTCAAATCATTTATGCTCACTTATAATAAATGCATATATGAAGTAGCGAAGTGCTTTTCTATTTATGCAACTTTTTAGAAACATAAAACAAGAGGGTCTCCTGCAAGACAAGTGTTGCAAACAAGAAAGGCATCTGTTTGCCGACTTTTACCTACAGCTGCAAAACTCACTGTGAGGCTAGCTAAAGCATTTCCATTATTCAAAGACAAAGGCATTGCAGGCGTGACTGATCCCACAGCTAAGGGCACCAAGCTGGCACAGGAACCAAGGATACAGCTTGAGCCGGATGTTCATAGCCCCTTTAACTACTTACTCCCTGCAAAATCCTTCAGCTGAAGTTGTTGCAAGGACTTCTTCGCTAGTGGAGTAGAAAGATTAGGCTTCTAAGCTAAAATTGGATTACAGTGATCCTAAAAAAAACCATCCATGAGCAGGGAATGACAGCTAGCACTCCACAGAACAAAGCAAGAACATTTCTGACTGCACACAGCAACAAGAAACAGTATATCTGGAAAGAAGAGCCCATTATCACGATGACTCCGTTTACGGTATCACAATCCACAGTCTGGTATGTAAATGCTGAATAGATCCAACTGCTAGTGCGAAGACAGCTGTGCAACAGCTTCCAGCTCTGTGCCTGGACCCAGGATAACAAAACTGATCACACTTCTGTCAGCATTTTCTTCTTTTTATAACCCTGATTGCCAGGGGGAATGAAATTGGAATATTTCATGGACTCCAGGTCTTCCACTTCCAAAAATTCAGATTTGCTGAGAGACTGATTACTGTCCCCCTTCTTGGGCTCAGAGAAGGGTGACTGCTGCTGGCCACAGGTGACATGGGTGTACTGACACTGCTCTTCATTATCAGTCTCTCGATGGTAAAAGTAGTTGAAGTTGGACACAATGACAGGCACAGGCAGAGCAATGGTGAGCACACCCGCAATGGCACACAAGGAACCCACAATCTTGCCACCAATTGTCATGGGATACATGTCTCCGTAGCCCACAGTGGTCATGGATACCACTGCCCACCAAAAAGCATCAGGAATGCTGGTGAACAACGAGTCAGGGTCATCGGTCTCCGCAAAGTATACGGCACTAGAAAAGAGGATCACACCAATAAAGAGGAAGAAGATAAGGAGGCCTAGCTCCCTCATGCTGGCCTGGAGAGTCTTCCCCAAGATCTGTAGTCCTTTGGAGTGCCTGGAGAGCTTGAAGATCCTGAAGACCCTGACCAGTCGGATGACTCTGAGGATGGCCAGGGACATAGCTTGCTGCTGGCCCCCATTGTTGCTGCTACTCCCAGACTGCTGCTTCTGCTGTGGTTGCTGGGCCAGCTCTGTGCCCAGGGTGATGAAGTAGGGGATGATTGCCACAATGTCAATGATATTCATAATGTTCCGAGAGAAGTCAGGCTTGCTGGGGCAAGTGAAGAAACGCACAAGAAGCTCAAAGGAGAACCAGATGATGCACAGTGTCTCAATGAGGAAAAAAGGGTCAGTGAAGAAAGGGCCAGCACCAGCAGTGGGTTGTGGAGACTGTGGGGTCCCGCTTGGTGGTGGTGGTGGCAGCAGTATGTCATCATCAAGTACAGCCAGCTCCCCGAAGCCAGGCTGAGCAACCTTGGGCTCCTGGCGAAACTCAGGCAGGGTCTCTAGGCAAAAGATGACAATGGAAATGAGGATCACTAGCACAGAGACGATGGCAATAGCACGGGCTGGTCCAGAGCTCTCAGGATACTCAAAGAGCAGCCAGACTTGGCGCTGGAAGTGGTGCTCAGGCAGGGGCTTCTCCTCCTCCTGAATAAAACCTTCATCCTCCCGGAAGGTCTCAATGGCCTCCTGGCCCAGCTGGTAGAAACGGATCTCCTCCAGGAAGATGTCGAGGGGCACATGGACTGGCCGCCGGAGCCGCCCTCCAGACTGGTAGTAGTAAAGGATGGCATCGAAGCTAGGTCGGTTGCGATCGAAGAAGTACTCGTTGCGGAGAGGGTCGAAGTAGTGCACCCGGCGGCTCGGGTCGCCCAGCAGCGTATCGGGGAAGATGGAGAGGGTCCGCAGCTGCGTCTCGAAGCGCAGCCCAGAGATGTTGATCACTAGCCGCTCGCTGCTGCAGCAGCCGCTGCCGCCCTGCTCCTCGCTCGTCGCCTCTGCCTCGCCACCGACCACCTGCGGGGCCGCCAGCGCCAGGGGCTCCTCCGCCCGCATGCCGCCGCCCTGCCTGCACCCCCACTTCTCCTTCAGCGGGCAGCACCACCCGTCATCCGCACGCCGCCGCCGAACCGCCCACCGCCCCGCCTGTTGCGCTACTCCCGCTCTGCGCTTGCCCGGCGGCTCGCCCGGCGGCCCCTCCTTCAGCCCCGGTCCTGTTCCCGGTCCTGGTGCCGGTGCCGGCGCCGCCGTGCTCGGCACCGTGCAGCGGTTCTGCCTTCCGCGCCGCGTGCTTGCGCACACACTCGCTTGGGAAAGGGAGCGAGACAGGCGTCTACGAGCTTGGTTGATCCATGCCACAACTGGCATTTGAAACCGAGCAGAAACTCACAACGGTTCATTTTGTCCTTCTGAAAATTGAGCTAATAGGTAAGGTTGCCACCATCCTTCCCAGGACAGAAGTCCTTTTTTTCCCCTTGAAAGCCCTTTGTTGGTGCTAAGCATTAATAATAATTAAAAAAAAAAAAAAAAAAAAAAAAAAAAAAAGAAAGAAAAAGAAAAACAGGCTTTTATCATCCTTGTATCCAATGCTTTTGCTGGCTGCAAACATATACATATAGCCTATACTATCTTAGCAGTATGGATATAGAAGCAAAATACTTCCCTCTTTACTCTTCCTATTACCTAGGTGCTAATACTCAGTTAATTCAGGCCTTGGACTTTCTGACCAGCTAACGGTGGCTGTCTTGTTTGTCTCTGTCCTCAGAAGGGAGGTGAATATAATCTAAATGTTGCTTAATCCATTTTCCTTTCTCACTCAGTAGCACTGAAGATGGCTGCTGCAAAAGGAAGCATATTTTTTCATCTGTGTGAAGATGTCTGACATAGAAAGAAGCATATTTTTCTTTCATATTTTACATATTGCATGGCAAGCAGATGAAAAATAAGTTTCTGAAGAATATACCTTTAAAATATATTTACAATTATAATGGGAAAATGGTTCTTGCTGACATTCCCTTTTCAATTGTTATAATAAATAATTTGTTCACATGTTTGAATTATTATTGTGATTTATTCATTCACATGGTTGACAACTAAGAAATAATTTAAAAAACAGCTTTTGGAAGGGATGGGCAAACTCCTGGGTTTTATAAGTTATAGGGTTTTATACAGGGCATGCCTATGTTGCAGTAATTGCTATGAACCTGCACGAGGTTTGATCCAGTGACCTTCAGTAGCACAGAAGACAGCGTTGAGCTCCTCAACAGTTTTCAGTATGATTTGCTGGCCCACACAGACTTTTCAAACTGCCACAGCTCTGATCCTCACAGTACTGGAGCTAGCAGTGTTGCATGTAGCTCTGATGCCTGCGCATGGTATCCAGCTATGTCTTCTTGGCTGCTGGCACAGTCCGTTTTAGAGCACACACCCAATGTTTGCTCCTGAAAGCCCTTAGGAAGTGAAGTGATTTTGTTTCTCTGTGAGTATTTGGGTCATCCCTCATACTCAGTATCAATTCTGTAAGCTTTTGCAACATGCAACTAAACCCTTTTTAGCTCTGTCTGTCTGTGTGGCCACGCCCCTCGCTTCTATGCTAAGAGGCTGTGCCAGCTGTCTCTGCTCAGCTTCCATGAACCGTCTTGATGGGGTAGCATCTTGCAATAGTACACAATTTGCTGGAGAAGCGCAGGAGGAGAGAGCCAGAGCTGCTAAAGAAGGAGACAAGATAAATTCTCCAGAAGGCAACACAGCAATATTGTAACTTTCTCTGCAGAGTGATTTGGCAGCTATGTCTAGGGCCAGCACCCCAAGATTAGTGCCAGCTAAAGGTACCACTAAGCTGCTCTCCGAGCTAGTGGCGATGTTCACATCTCCAGGCCCAGCTGGGGCAGGTCACTTCAGTTCAAAAGTTAAGGATGACTACATCCTCCCTCAGGACATAGTAGTCAGTAAGCATGAGGTGCACAAAATTATCTTCGTAGATCTGTGGGAGAACTTGCTGCTGGTTCTAGCGCAGCAAGACACCTGGTTCTGGATCTTCATCCTAGTACAGAATCTGGAAGGGCATTGCCCCCTGGAGCCTGGCTTTGATAGGCACCCATCGATCTGTGGCATGCAGTTCAGCTTCGGCAAGCCAAACAGATTCTGGGATATCTTACAGAACACTGAATGTGGTTCAGCATTTTGGATAACCACATTAATTCATTTTAGAGCTTTTTCACTGGTTTTGAAGTGCTCAGCACCGGATCTGCCACAAAATCATGTTCATTGTTTCAAAGAAAGGATGTTTGATTCCCATTTCCCTATTTTTAATCAACAGGAAGACCAGTGAAGAAATTCCAGTAAAGAGTTACTCCATTTTTTTCTAAGTATTATTGATTGTCTCAGAGTAAACCTACAGAAATTCCAGAGCAGCTGTCAGAATTATTGTGAGTCAAGATCATGGTAACTGAGGGCCATAGAGTGCTGGCAATTCCTACTCCATCTCAGGACAATACCTGTATGCAGAATTTGACTCTAGAACATAAAAAATAATGGACTAGACTCTTTCAACAGAAACAAACTTAAATAAAAAATATAACCAAGATAGCTGTCTAAAGTCTGACAGAGGGCTCTGGAAAAGCCACACCAGCTATTATTTTCAAAGGTATTAAAAGGTAGAGTTCTGACAACCTAAACACTTCTGTGTGTTGGCATTTGTGTTCTTCAAAATCACATCAGTGAATATAATGTATATAAAATCAGAGGCACAGACTAATATTGCAATAAAATATTTCATTGATTTATTAGGAAACATACTGATGTCTCCGTGGAAAGAAAAAAAAGAAAAAAAAAGATGTTTTTCCTTCTATGCTTAGGAAAGAGATATTACACTTAGTCTCAAGTTTAGCATTTTATCCCAGATGCAAAGAACATTGCTCATGACTGAGCTTATGCATGAACTCATTAACACATTTTCAGGAGCAACTGCTGTGTTGTGTATTCTTGGTACACACAGAAAAAAAGCAGGATCAAACCTTGCAAAGTACAGTTTGTTAGGGTCACACTCTTCAAGCTGTCTGCCCTAAAACATTGAATCATTAGTCTTTTTTTTTTTCAAAGCCAAGATGCAAAAATCAACCCAAACTGACTGATATTAAAGGGAACATTCTGGTGAGTACAAGGTCTTATGATCAGGTTCAACAGGAGGTAAAATGTTTTACCAATAAATTTACAGTAGAAGTTTTTTGTGTGAAATAAAAGATGCATTTAGTTTGAATACTTCAAATGAAAGAATCTTTTCACTCTGGTATAGCTCTAATCCTCTCTAGGATTTTATTTTATTTTATTTATTTATTTCTGGAACTTAACTGTCTTTTCTCCCTGTGTTATGTTCAGTTAGATTTGGCACTGGAATTTTGCTAGGACTGTCTGCAAATCTCTATTTTTGAAGAGACTAGTTGGAAATAACTATTTCATGTCTCAGAAACATACTCCACCTAAGCTTCTTGACTTAAGGATTTCTCTACTTTGTCCAGATGTACAGACAGTTATTAAAACCAAACAGCCATACCACCAAATATGTTTACATACACATATTTGGTGGTATGGCTGTGCTTAATTGCAGAATTATTCAGTGGTCATAAAAATACTTGTAAATAAAATGTATCCTTGTAAATAAAAATATGTATACTTGTAAATTTATTCCAAGAAAATGTTTTGGAATTATTCAGGAGGTTTTTGCACAATGTTAAAAAGTATACATTAATTATCCTCTCTTCATTAATCAGTTTTCCATTACAGCTTTCCATTTTACAGGTTCAGACTTTGAAAAACAAATTATAAGCAAAACCAGTGAAGGGTGGAAGATTTATCTTAAAACAGAAGATCAAAACCATTGTGCAGATAAGATGACCTCACATTTGCTATTCAGTGTGAGGTTTAAAAATTTATTTCAAAGGAAATAGGTCCGGATGGCTTAAATCTAATTTGTTCTATAATATACTCACAGAAAATATCTCACTGGGCTTTAAATCCAGACTTTTGAGAAAGAGTAGTCATATTTTTGTGGTGGAGGCATTCTCAGTGATACCTGTATGTTAGCTCCATTGGTATTTTCTCCAGACTTACAAGAATAACAAAAGATTTTTTCCTGTAAATGATGCTGCTTTGGAACAAGTCAATCTTAGTAGGTTTCCCTTTAGTACAAAAAACAAACAAGTTGAGTGGCTTTCCCAAAGACACAAAGCATGTCAGTAGCACAACAAATCCAAGCTGAAGTTATTTTTGCTATTCTCTGATCCTCTAAATAAACTCTTATCCACATGCTACAAAGTGCCATCACACTGTAACGTAGAGGACATGCTCTCAGCTGCCTCTTGGCATGCTTTGATGCAGCATTCAGCTAAGGGATGCCTACCTTAGGGCATACCTAAGGGGTGCTGGGATAGAGATTTGTGTCTTTGAAATAGATTTGTTTCAGAGTTTGTTCTTTATCCTCTTGAGGAACTTCATTTTAGGAAGGAAGAATGGTAAAATACAATTAAAAAATCCTAAAGCTGCAGAGACCTTTCCCATCTATTAGTGCAACCAGAGGAAAAGCGAATCAGATACTAGAAGCAAGGTCCTGCTTTCAAAGGAAATGCAGTGTTTTACCCATATGACGTACTTGCCTGCACTTACACCAACATCAGCCAGAAGAAATTAATTTGAAATAAAGAGAGCAGTTTAAGTGCAGAACATATGGAAAGCAAGATCAGGTCAAGAGGCTTTTCAAAGGACGAAAGCAACAATATGTTCTGAAACTTAGCTACCATTTCTCAACAGCCAGTTGGGAAGAAAGTGAAGCCTCTAAGACTACACACTTCGGAGAGATTTGGAAACACAAAAGAGTGTGTGAGAATACCAAGTATACATTTGTAATTTAATTTATGTTTATTTTGGTCCAGTGCACAATGAGAAGGTTATCATGTGACTCAGATTAGCCCAAGAGCTGCACTGGGATAGTTAGTACTATGCGTTCTGGAAAGATATAAGATTGTCAAATGGTCAGGATACAGCCATTTATAATTCACTTCCATTCCTGACATAATTTTCTTGAGCAAGTTTGAGAAGAGAGGGAACATTCTTTTGTACTAGTGACAAAACACAGATGTAGATTTCTAAACAGAACCTCCTTATTGTTTTATCATCAATTAGATGAAACAAACTGTAGGAGTAGGATAAAAAATTGATAGCCTAGTTATTTTGGCATCATTTAAGTTCAAAGCAAAAGCTCCATGATTTCTCCACAGAAACAGAATAGGACTCTTGGATGACAGAGAAGGGGTGGAGTAAGAACAAACATAAGAAAGGTGACATCAAGGAAATCTGAACCAGATGCTCTGCTCACATATTTGAACATAGGCCCATAAAAGATCCAGTCAAAATGTTTCAGCTGTTA